CCAGGCGATGGTGGTCGCGCGCCTTTAATCCCAGCACTCGGGAGGCAGAGGCAGGGGAATCTCTGTGAGTTCGAGGCCAGCCTAGTCTACAGAGGTCCAGGACAGCCAGGACTCCTGTCTCAAAACAATAAATAGTACCTATTACAAGTCCTCCACAGGCACATAGGTTATGTTGAACTTCTGAAGAGATGGAGTGAGGGGGGAGGGAAGGTCTGTTATAGAGATGGACATGGAAGCACACCTGCAAGGACTTTGGTCGCCAGAGCTCTGGAGAAAGTCACCACCCACCTCTGCAAGCGGCTTTTGATAAGTTGGGAAAACACTTTCAGCTTGGTCCGCTCTATGGCGCAGGCGCAGGCGCAGAAGCGCGTTGGGGGGAGGGGCGGGGCCTGCGCCCACGTGGCGGGGGGGGGCGGAGTGGGGCGGAGCAAGTCTCGCGAGGCCGCGCCCTGGTTCGCGCGGTCTCTAGCGCGCCGTTTTAGCCTCTTGACGGCGGCGGGGGACTCCGAGCTTTCTCTGAGGGACGTGTTTTCGCGCTCGCTCGGTCATGGAGGCGCGGTCCAAGCTGCTGGACGCGACGACTCCGTCCCGTCGCTGGACTCAAAAGGTGGTGCTGTTCCTGCCCTGTCTGCTGCTGTTCCTATTGCGGACCGAAGCTCTGCAGGGCTTGGAGACCGACGAGCGGTTCCGGACCCGCGAAAATGAGTGCCACTTCTATGCTGGTGGACAAGTGTACCCGGGAGAGGTGTCCCGGGTTTCGGTCGCAGATCACTCTCTGCATCTAAGCAAAGCCAAGAGTAGGTGGTGCCCTGCGGAGGTTGGGTGTATGGGGCAGAACTCGGGGATACTTAGACCCTTGTCGTGGATGCTATGAAAGGGTGGGGCTGGAGTTGGGCCGCACCCCCAAGGCTGCTCTGGGTCCACCCAGTTGCCTTTGTGGGTGTGAGGATGTTGGTAGATTCTTGGTATGAAGAAAGAGATGGTTTCCTCCGACCAGATTTCGGGAGAGGTAGCGGTTACCCCTAAAGCCACAAATCGGGGTGTTCCTAGTCCCGGGCTCACAGGCGTAGAGGATGTTGTGCAAACTAAAAGACTTCCTTAAATATCCGAAAATGCCTGCAGCAGTCCTGCTTTTTTCAGGGAAGAAAGTGCATTGATAAGTTGAATAATGATTCACAGAAAGTTTGATTAAACAGAAAAGTGGCTAAACAGAATGTTCAGAAGGTCAAACTTTTTCATACCATACAAAGATTCTTATTGAAATTCATTTCCCAAAAATTTGTAGAGTTAGTGGGTATTGATGTTTCAAAAAGAATGAAGACTTTATTATATCGAGTATTTTGGAGGGAAACTGGGGTTGGGGGTGGCAGTGGCACAATTAGGTTGATGGTGTCCTGCCAACTGCGCTTTTCAATATTTGTCTTTCTGTCCAGTGTTTGAAGCTAGTTGCTACTCAGAAAAGACACGTCAGACTAAGTAGATACTGTGAAAGTTGAGGCCTGCTGCATCTGGATATTAAGATTGCCAAAAAGAAGTGACCAGGGCATCCAGACAAAGGCCCTCCCTGTCTTTTTTGCTTTTCCCAAACCCACTTTTCCTGGGGATTATTTGACATTCAGTAGGTGTATGTTTGAATTTTGGCTGTTGCAGCACATTATGTCCTAGTATTCAGTAAAAAATAGTTATACTTGACAGTTTGCAGTCTGCTTTTTGAGCATAGGGCCTGGACAGATCTGACAGAATGGCTTCAGACTCCTACTTCAGCTTGCAGAGAGCTGGGACTACAAATTTGCCTCATCATACCGGGCTACTTCACAGTTAGGAACCTCCAGAGATAATACGATGTCGCTACCACATGTAATGAATGAGAAAAGCTATTTTACCCCCTTAATCATTTGCGGTTTCATAGTACAAGTTAACTACTTTGAGATTGTTTTTAGAAAGCCAGTTTTGCTTTAAAAAAAAAAACAATAATATTTCCAAGTCTCATTGATTTCACTTGCCTGAGGAAGATAGTCTGAAATGTGTTTATTCCAATATACTTCCTATTGGAAATAAAGCCATTCCAAAGCCGTATTTGGAAGTAAAAAAGAAAAACTAGTAGTTATAATAGCTTTCTGTTTACCAAAAATATTTCAAATTTTTATATAGTTGTTGCATATCTATGTCATATACAAGCTGATCTAGAATTGGAGAAAATGAGGATTTTTACTCATAAAGGAAATATTATAGAGCATTTAAGGTTATATTTTCAGGTCATTTTAATAACATGAAAAATGTCATAATTTACATTTTCAATGGGAGGAAAAGATGAGGATGCACCATGATCCAGATTTGTGTTTGGAAAATGTAGGAAAGATCAAAATGTTAACAGTAGTTCAACTGATGATAGAGAGACAAGGGATTTAAATTGTATTCGTTATTCTTCTCTCTGTTTACCAGAATCCTTATGCTAATGCATATTTAAGACATTGCTGTTTGTTTTGTTGAGACAGGATCTCTCCATGTAACCCTGGCTGTCCTAGAACTCACTATGTAGATCAGGCTAGCTTCGAACTCACAGAGGTCCACTTGCTTCTGCCTCTTGAATGCTGGGGTTAAAGGTGTGCATCACCATGTTTTTTTGTTTCATTTTGTTTTTTAATAGATAGAGAGGGCTGCTTTTGGAATTGTATTTAAAAATCTTAGCAAAGTAATTTCAATTACTACATCAAAACCAAAAATTTGCAAACATCAATTTTCAGAACAAGATTTATTTTCCTGACATGGTTTTTTGTACATGTAAAATTCTTAAGAAGTGTCATAACAGATTATTACAATTATTATAACCTCTTTCTTATTTAAGCATTTGAAGTAGTGAATATAAAATATACAAACGTTAGCAGATTTCTAATTTTATCTTCTGGCCTTTCTTAATAAGATCAGGATTATTGTGCCGGGCGGTGGTGGCGCACGCCTTTAATCCCAGCACTCGGGAGGCAGAGGCAGGCGGATCTCTGTGAGTTCGAGGCCAGCCTGGGTTACCAAGTGAGTTCCAGGAAAGGCACAAAGCTACACAGAGAAACCCTGTCTCGAAAAACCAAAAAAAAAAAAAAAAGATCAGGATTACTTATATTAGGTAGTTCTGACTCAAGGTAAGAAATCACATGTTATAAACTTCACAAGGAAATTCATCTTCAATTTGTCTCTGTAGAGCAACTGTTAGTGCTGGCTTTTACACAGAAGTATAAGGTTTGAGTCTAGAAACTTTAGTTCAACTTGGAGGCAAGTATTGATCTTAGTATATGTAATGGTTTTGAAAGTGTTATTTGAATGTGTCAACAGCAAGAAGGGACAGAATTATCAAAGGGTGCTAGCTAGAGTTACAGCATGCCCTTACAGGACAGCAGCACTATTGAATTTGCTTCAGGTCACTTGAAACCTGTTTCAAGTGGAGTAAGTGGTGGTGGGGGTGCTGGGGGGGGTGTCTCCTTTTTCATGATCTGGGATAACTTAGAGGGGCTGAAGTAAAATAGCCAGTATTTAGTACAAGGATAAGATGTAAGACTTTATGGGCATAGGCAGAAACATTTTTATTTCGTTGAATTTATGTGTGTTAATAATTATAGTAACCAGGAAAAATCCCATATGTATTTTCACTTCCTATACTATATGTATTTAGCATTTCCTTCTATTATATAAGCAAAAACTCACACTCATTCAAGAAATACTTACTTGTACCTGTTGCCCATTGAGACAGAGATTTTCATGCTATAGGATAGCTATTGCGGGATCCTGTCAGTGTTACCTGGCAGAGTTATAGGATAACTCCCACATTTTGTACCTTGAAGGTGTTGTGAATGAACACACAGCTATTACTACATCACCAACTTTTTAAATGCTTATACTTGCATTTCAGGGTAATTGGTTTCCTTTGTAATTCTATGTATCTTATATTCTCTAACAGTGAGTTATTGTTCTAAGTTCTCAGAAGTCTAAGCTTCCAGACTGCCAACAAAGTCCAAAGCTTTAGAAGCCCCAATTTTTAGTGTTTATTTAAAGCTGTCCTTTGCCATTTTAACAACTATCTTAGTGTTATAGAACATTATGTTTTTCTTTCTTAGTTTCCAAGCCAGCACCGTATTGGGAAGGAACAGCTGTGATAAACGGAGAATTCAAGGAGCTCAAACTGACTGACTATCGTGGGAAATACTTGGTTTTTTTCTTCTACCCACTCGATTTGTAAGTGATACATGCAAGTAAATACTAGTAAAATGCCAGTCTTTGTCATTTGCTATCTAAGAACAACAAACAGAATTTGTTTTTCAACTGATGTTTCAGAGAGGAGGAAGGTAATATCTACCATATATTTGAGTCCTAAAGACAAGAAAATAGATTAATAATATTTTAGCAAGTAGTTAATGTAAGAGTTAATACATGATTCTGTTTACTATAAAGGCTTTGCTATTTTTATTTGCTATATCATATTTTCCTGAGATTTGAACATTTTAATATTAATATCTTTGAGATATACATATATATATAATATATATATATATTAATTTTTATTGTGAGGTTCTTCAATTCTGACAGCATTATTTGGATGGCTGTAAAGTCAATTGTAAATTGTCTTGTAGTTACATCAAGGAGTTTATTTTGAAACATACAATTCTGAGAATGCCTTACTCATGACAAGAATCAAAAGCAACAAACAAACAAAAGAATTAGTTATCACAACCTCTTATTTTTTTCTATTTAAATTTTTGGGGGGTTACAAAAAGCAACTAATAAATTGATGAAATGGGGGTGCTGCTGTGAGGATGAAGGAAACATTGGTCCCATACTAATCAATTGAATTATAAGAAGGAAATTTGTTGAAATGCAATTGAGAACTAGAAATTCCTTTAAAATATTAAATGCTGTCTTAGAATTTCACTTGGAGAAAACTCATCTATCAGCTGTCCTTAAGGTGTGTTTTTATATACTCAGAAGTGTCTGTAGTAAGCCAAAACGCGTTTGAAAGTTCAGATGTGTGCTTATTTTGAGACTACTGACTTGTTTTCCTTTTTCAACTTTCAGCACCTTTGTGTGTCCAACTGAAATCATCGCTTTTGGTGACCGAATTGAAGAATTCAGATCTATAAATACTGAAGTGGTGGCATGCTCGGTCGACTCTCAGTTTACCCACTTGGCCTGGTCAGTGTTTTGCCTTAAGTCTGGGATAAAATGAGTAGATTTACTTCTTAGTCATGTGCAGATAGCTCTTAATATGGTAATATTATAATAATTATTATAATATAATTATTTGGGTATCCTTAATGTGACAAAAAATTAAAACACTTCTGTTACATAGTTGTCAATGTTCAATCATGAGCTTTTATAGTTTTCAAAAAGCAGTAATTTTTAAAAATTAATTTTAGACTACTGTGGCTAAAATAGAAGGATCTCTATGAATCAAGGTCAGTGCAGGCTACAAAGAAAGATCCTGTCTCAAAATACAAAAACAAAAATTTAGTCTAAAAAAGTAACTTATAAAAATGTATTATCATGAGAAGATATTTCACCTAACAAGCTGCAAAGAACTGCAAATTAAAAGGACAAGACATGCCATTTTTCCCTGTCTCATTGGCTAACATTGGGAAAAAAACCCTCGGTGTTAATAGAGGTGTGAAAGAATGGCATTTGGACAATAGACACATTAAAATGTTCAAGTATATAGGACAAAATCCAGTTGGTCTGAGACTTACAATATATATCCTGATGACCAATATATATTGGTAATTATATAAGAACATTATATCTACATGTTCATTTGCTTTATCTTGTTATCTAATGAAAAAGTTATACCATTCCAAATGATTTAGATGTATTTTTCTTTTTTCTTTTTTTCAGATTTATTTATCTATATAGGAGTGCTCTATCTGCACGTATACCTGCATGCCAGAAGAGGGCATTGCATCCCACTATAGGTTATTGTAAGCCACCATGTGGTTGCTGGGAATTGAACTCAGGACCTCTGGAAGAGCAGACAGTGCTCTTAACCACTGAGCCATCTCTCCAGCCCTCCAGTGTCCTTTTCTATGGGAATCTGGGGGTTGTGTTCTTAACTAGATAACTTTTATACTAATACTAGCCAAGGTTTCTACTTAGGTATCAGAACTGGGGCTGCAGACCTCCAGAGCAGTATTTTTGTTTCTGTTTTAATTTTGCTGCTATGTCAGTGTCATTCCATGGGTTAACAGTGCCCAAGTGCTATAATTTCATGTTACAGATACTTAAATCTGAAGATTGATGGATTTGAGATTGTGACTAAGTTCCCTCATTGCTTCCCATGGAGTTTGTATTTCTTGGCCTTGCAGAGCAGTTAAAGATCTTCTCATTGCATCCCACCTCTCTTTCAAGGCTTTGTCTTGTGATCTGTTCTAAGACTTAAGACACACCCTTTTATTATAATGAAATCCAGTATTATATATAATTAATGTATGTTTAAAAAACTTAAAAAATCCTAAGTCTTTCTGAGCATGTGGCCCATGTCTTTAGTCCCAGCACTGGGGAAGCAGAGGCAAATAGATCTCTGTGAGTTGGAGGTCAGCCAGTTATCCTATTTTGCATACCTAAACTATACACCCTATCAATTTTACTTCTAGAAGGTAGGTGACAGAGAAGTACAGAAGGATGAGCATATAGGATGCTTTCAGCAATGTTTATAAAAGAAAAATGCAATCGGTTTGATGTCTATCAGTAGAGATCAGTAAAATATGGTATTTTGTACATTAAAATGTCATGTGTATCAACATTTAGTACTTCTAGGATGTGATATACTACCCAGTAGTCTGCTTTTGTTATAAAGGGGATGGATGGATAGATAGATAGATAGATAGATAGATAGATAGATAGATAGATAGATAGATAGATAGATAGATAGATAGATAGATGAGTTTTATGTACTTTCATGTGCGGAAAGAGTTGATTTTTAATATGTCACTTATCACTGAGAGATGAAGTCTTCTATTACAGGATTAATACCCCTCGAAGACAGGGAGGACTGGGGCCAATAAGAATTCCACTTCTTTCGGACCTGAACCATCAGATCTCAAAGGACTACGGTGTATACCTTGAGGACTCAGGCCATACTCTTAGGTACCCTTCTTTGGTTAACATTTTGAAAAATCTAAGTACAAGTATAATCTTCCTAGAAATATGTGGTACTTCTGAGTTAGGAGATAGATATTTTGATCAAAAATACTATTTTGCGCTATTTGCAGGAATGTTACAGTCTTTAAACTGTTGATGACCTATTTAATCTAGAGTTGCACACTGTTAGAGCTTGAGGGCTTTGATAGCCCCTCTATTTACAGATAAAAGTAGCAGATGTGTGGATTTCTATGAATTTAGTCAGTTATAGAATAAGTTAATAGGAGAGACCAGACTTGTATCTGGGTTTCCTAACCTCTTCACTCTTTTTTCCTTTTTTCTGAAATGGCTCTAGTAATGTTTTTCTACTGTGTCCTTAGTGCTTTGCAAAACTACCTTTGGAAAGACTAAGGCAGTTCTCACCCAGCAGCCTTTTCAGCTTTTTTGGTTTTTGATTGTTTGAGACAGTATAGCTCTGACTGTCCCAGAACTCACTCTGTAGACCAGGCTGACAGCTTTTACATGAGCTAGTAAATACAAATAGAATTATTTGATAAAAAAGGGCAATTTTAGCCTTAAAAAGTTAAAAGTTGTTGAACGTTAACCAAGTAATATTACCTAATACTGAATTTGCCCTTTTATTTTGATTAATAGCTTTTTCTTTTTTTAGATAGGGTCTTAGCCCGCTCTGGCTTTGATTTGAACTACATAGTTAACGATGACCTTGATCTCCTAATTATCCTGCCTCTGCCTCCCCAAGTGCTTGGATTATTTAAAGTCAGATGAAGGGTTTTTTTCTCCTTCAGAGGGAGGGATTGTTTGTTTATTGTTTTCTGAAACAAATTTATGGAGCCTTGACTAGCCTGGAATTGGCTGACCACCAACTCACAAAGATCTGTTTGCCTTTGCTTCCTCGATGCTGGGAATAAGCCACCAGATAGATTAAGTTTTTAAAACATACATTAATTATACATAATACTGGATTTCATTATATTTTTATACATGTAGATAGTGACTGTATCTTAATCACATTTTACTCCCCATTATCCACTCTTGTCCCATTCCTGCTGCTCCTCTCCTAATTATCCTTCTACTTTGATGTCCTTTATGCATATATGTGTAGCCCAGTGAATTTAAGTAGGGTGGTTTATAGGATCATGAGCACCTTACCAGTGGCTGAAAGAAACAACCATTAACTGCCTAAAGATACACAGAGGAGGCATTAAGCTCCTCTACTGCTTGCTTATAAATCCTGAAAGATGGGAGGAACCCCTCATCCCAAAACAGGGATCTGTGTATCTTTAGGCAGTTAATGGTTGTTTCTTCCAGCCACTGGTAAGGTGCCCATGATCGTATAAACCACCCTACTTAAATCCCAAACAAAATCCCAAAACAGGTTTTTAAAATTAACTGTATGTGTGTATGTCTGTGTGTGGATATGTGCCTTCAGAGAGAGGCATCAGTTACCTGGAAGGGAGTTAAAGGCAGTTATGAGCTGCCTGAAGTGGAGGCTGGGAATAGAACTTGGGTCTTCTGGAAGTATAGTATGTGCTTTAAACTGCTAAGCCAACTCCCCAGTTCCTCAAAACAAAATTTTCAAACTACGATTTAACAGTGCTAATCCAAACGTATATAATTTGGAGGATAGGAGTTTATGTGGCAAAGAGTAGTACTGGTGACTATATAGCAGAATACTTACCTTAACTGGGAAGCAATGGAATCACCTTTACCATCCCTGTGCTTTACAGAGGCCTCTTTATTATTGATGACAAAGGAGTCCTAAGGCAGATTACTCTGAATGACCTTCCTGTGGGTAGATCAGTGGACGAGACACTGCGTTTGGTTCAAGCATTCCAGTACACTGACAAGCATGGAGAAGGTACCCTTCTTTTACTCTTCTTTTTTTTTAAACTTTATTTTTTTATTTGACAATGTCATATATGTTTTTATAATGAATTTGGTCTTTTTCATTCCTCATTACCCTTTTATCTATTTCTCCCACCAAAACTCTTCTCCTTTCTACCAAGCTCCCTCCTACTTTTGTGGTTTTATTGGTGGTGACCCATTGAGCTTAATTAGGGTTGCTTGCATGAACATGACTGGGGGTGGGGTTATTTTCTGGATCATGGGCAACTTATTAGTAGCTATATCACTGAAGAAAATGATACCCCCCATTGAATGCTTCAATGAGGAGTGGGGCCTATGCTCCCCTCCCCTTATCCATGAAAGAATGTTGACATGCCCAGTCTTGTACAGGTAACCATAACTGCTGTGAACATGAGTACAACTGTCATGTCCAGATGACATAGTTTCCTAATATTCCTCCTCATCCTCTGTTCATCTGCCAAGATGTTCCCTGAGCCATAGAGATATAGATGTCTTCTTTAGGGCCAAGTACTTAACAGTCACTTATTCTCAGCACTTTGACCAATTATGAATCTTAACATTAATTACATCCATTGCAAAAAATAGTTTTTCAGATGAAGGCTGAGAGCTGCACTATCTTTTTGTACAAACGTGAGACATTGTTAGAAGGCTATAAGACAGCATGTCCATGGAGTAAAACAACAGCAAGGATCCCTTATAGGGCTTATGACCTCCTACCCATCTTTTTTTTTGTTTTTTAGTGTGTGTTGTCGGGGGTGGGGGGTGGACAGAGGCATAATTTAATTTCTTATCCCAAATGTAATTTGAATGCTTCCAACATATTCTGATTATGGTTCTCATTTTAGTAGATTTCTTTTTTGGTTTTTCGAGACAGGGTTTCTCTGTGTAGCTTTGCGCCTTTCCTGGAGCTCACTTGGTAGCCCAGGCTGGCCTCGAACTCACAGCGATCCGCCTGGCTCTGCCTCCCAAGTGCTGGGATTAAAGGCGTGCGCCACCACCGCCCGGCTCAGTAGA